GGCGCCAGAATGCCAGTGTGTTCCCTCGTCCTAATAAATTTTAAGAGGTTTCATCAGGTCTCGTCTCTCTCGGTCGTACTCGGTTGCAAGAGTGTGAACGGGCCTTTAACGTTACCACTAACGACGTTATTGGTAACGCGTTACCAGTAACGTCGTTACTTGTAACACGTTAAGCTTCCAAAACTGCGAAAATATGGCCGCCACCAGTGTTGCTAGATTAATTTTGTTAAGAGGTCTATTGGTGCGATAGGAGGCTCGATGAATACCACTTAGAAGACGAAAGGCCTTAGCATGACGTCACGTTTAGTGACTCCCCGACTCGCCCCAAGCGGCAAACAGGCCGCAGCTCTACCAGAGACGCCACAAAGCGGCAGACGCGACCGTCTTGGCGTCGCCGCCTGCTAACGTCTCGCTCGAACTGTGGGACGCTATACGACACGCGTTCGCGGCGACGCTGACGCAAGTCAGGCAGCCACTGCGTGCCATGAACCTTCTGCAATGAGCCGACGTCCACCTAAGCCTAATATTTATCAAATCGGAATTTGAGATTGTAGCGCCTGGAACGTTTAATTGAAAACAAACAATAGAAAAACGCCGTCGTCCCGAAATAAATAAATATCGCCTTTCTTACAGGCAAGCGTTCTGAATTAAATAAATGCTACAGGCGCCCACAATCGCAAATTTCGATATGACGAATATTAGGCTTAGGGGTACGTCGGCTCATAGAGAAATTTTGTCTACCCTTTGTATCTTGATCCAGGTAACGTCACGTGCTCAAATTTTCGCATTTTATCACCACCGCTAGCGCCGCTCCTTCGCCGAGTTGCAGCTTTCTTCCGGTGCGTAGTTCACTTATACGGGCGAAAAAAAAAAAAAAAGGGTTTCATTTTTCTCGATCGAACCCATTAGATCGCCGATAGCCACGGCGTGCGTTCAGCCGACCGCGAAGCATACCCTAAAGTGCAAGGGTCATCCGACGTAATTACATAGCGAGCTTATCTACTTCGTCTTGGGAAGTACCGACGGCCAACCCGATAGAGCCGCTACAGTGAGCAGCCCCCGCGCCAGAACATGACGAAGCGTTGCACAGCGCGCGACACGGTCGATGTAAGATCGCAACGTCAGCGCCTCGACGCAATTCGCTCGGACCGCTTCACAAAACACTGGACCAGGTTTTTTTTTTAGTAAAAACTAAGCATGCAGCGGGCCGAAACAAAAATTGATGCCGTTGAACTCCTCGAGGGAGCTGACGTTTAGGTTTATCAAGTTTTTAACTATAGTTTATTTAATAACGTTTTTAGTTAGTGACAATAAACGTATAGAGTTTCGACTACAAACTACCTGAGCATTAAGAAAAAAAAATCAGTCAATTTGAGCAAGAATTCACAGCTGGTGTGGCTCACTTTTTTGGGCACTGAAAATGGATTTAACAAACCGCGCCAGAACGGTTTGTTAGATTTTCTTTTTTTATCATTCGGAAATTTACATGGTTAGCCTTGCGCCGACAGCATAAACGGTAAATTTCGCGCACAACCACGATTCCCACGCCCTTTACATTTTGTTTTCTCAAATGCTTACTGATACAGTGGTTTCCGTTGACGCACAGAAAGGTTTATAATCGAAAGCCTTCGTTTATTTGTTTACCAGTAATCGGATAATTACGCGAAACTCATTAGGAACCTAATTATCCAAAACACTATGTGCCTGCCTAAATAGGTCCCTTGACGGTTGCCCGCACGGTGTCGATACGGAACCTTCGGCCGGCGTTTCGCGAAACACCCTGTATTTTATTTTGCTTTTCACGCGTGCGTCCCCCTTCGCGGGTAATGAAATATTAACGCATCAAAAGAAGCAAAAAAAAAAAAAAATAAACGAGAAATCTGGGGATCTTGTGTTTCAAGGTGAGTTTGAAGCGTAAAGCCGGGGTCACACTGCTTATATACATCATACAAAAGACAGTCTGCAAACAGATTACAACGCGAGTCACCACGAGATCGATCCGCGTGCTTCGAATGCCGCATGACAATGAGTTCAAGGAGAAACACGCGGTATTCTAACCACAGATATTGGGATGAATCGTGTTCACAGACTGTTTTTTTGTAGGATGGTATGAGCAGGCTTTGAGATAATGAAGGTGAAAAAAAGAAAGTGAGACCAAACAAAAGTATGGAAATGATGAAGATTGCTCTCGAGAAGGCAGCAGGCCAAACATTTCAGTGTTTCAGGTAAATTTGACGCGCAACAGTATTTAGCGGAGAATGTTTACCCGAATTCTTCTTATTTATCCGAAATAAGAAATATCTTTTTAGGTACTTCCCTCAAACGCTTTGCGAAAAACGTATGACAATATAGGTTTCCAGAAATGCGGGCAAAATCGCTCTCGCGAAAACTACGGATCTCGCACAAAAAAAAAAACAAAAAAAAAAAGGTTGATGTCCTTGTTGTGTGTTTAAAAGGGCCCAATAAAGCAAATTATTAGCTTTCAATATAATTGGGTAATTAATGAAGGATAACTAGATCGTTAAAAATTGATTTTAAAGGCAGGGTTTCAATTAGAACTCGCTGGGCGGCATCATCGAAAACTACTAGCTACACCCACTTTACAATGATATAAGGGAAACCCAGCCCTTTAGAGCGTTCAAAAAAAGAAGAAAAAAAAAATCAATTTGTACGCGTTTCTGCCAAGCCGTCGCATGAGGCTGTCGCCTCCGGGCTGTCGCATGAGGCAAGCATAATGCGATCGACAGCCCGGAGGCTTTCTTGTCTTCAACGTGCGGTGCGTGGCAGCGCAAGCACGTTGCGCGTTTAAACACTCGTCCAAATTGAGCGTTTTTTTTTTTTTCGGAACGTTGTAAAATGCTGCGCCTGCCTTATATCAATGTAACGTGGGTGTAGTTAGTAGTTTTCGATGATGCCCAGCAAGATTCGAATTGAAACCGTGCATTTAAAGTAAATCATTAACGATTTAATTACGCAATATTATATAATTACCCAATTATATTGAACGATAATAATTTTCCTTAATACCACTCCGGCATCACCTTTTCTTCTTTTTTTCTGTGCCATGGGTATTTTTTGCAGGAGCGATTTTGCCCGCGTTTCCGGAAGCACCATATACGTACGTTTTTTTTTTTTTTTTTTTTTTATAATTTTAGACATGTTTTGCACCAATGTATTCACAAAACGTAACCTGATATATATAAAAAAAAAGAACTAAGGCCGGATATCATTATTTATAGCCAGGGCTCCGTGTTTTCGGAGTTTATTTTTCATGAAATTCGGAGGGTGTATTTCGGAGTTTATTTTTTAGCAAAAAGTCGGTGTTTATCGGAGTTTATTTTTTATCAAAAATTTGGTGTTTATCGGAGTTTATTTTTTATCAAAAATTTGGTGTTTATCGGAGTTTATTTTTCGTAAATCTCCAATTCTCCGAAATTCGGAGATCACTTTCGCAGTGTTTCCTATTAAGAAATAATAAATAATAACCGGATGCAAACGTATGCCAGATAAAAAATAAAATGCGCTTGTATCAATTAAGATTTCTTCAGTTGAATTTGCGTTGGTGTCATTGGCAATACTAGTTTGTCCCACGAGAAAAGTCGCACACAGTGTGGCTACGATAAACGTCGATACCTTAAAATCAATAAACTGCCGGAGGTAGCCGCAAGGAAGCTCGTAGTCATCCGATCAATCTATCCCGCGGCCGCGCAAGGTGGTGTGGTTAAGGATGTAATAGAGAAGTTTCAACTGCCCCTCTTCCCTATTTTATAGAATCTCTATGGTCCATAGCTTTCACTGTTACCCCAAGAAACCCACCCTCTCCTATCTCTAAATCCCAAATCCCATGGCCCAAACTGAAAACCAAAAGGGTGGCTTTTGTCGAAACACGAATGGTACGATGACCTGTTTCCTTTTATTCATTCACTTTCCCACAGCGCCAGGGTGACGCTACAGTGAGGGGGGGGGGGGAGGGAATTTTCATCAATGTGACACATTTAAGCAATACAAAGGATCCATAACAGAACGCGTACATGCATACCCAGTATACGGGAAACAAAAAAATAAAATACTTCTCTTAATGCAGCAAAGAAAGCGTCATTGTCCAAAATGTCAACAACCTCCGATGGCAATTGATTCCATTCGCTAATAGATTTGGGGAAAAACGAAGATTTAAACTGGTTTGTGTTACATTTATATTCACGTGCCTTTTGTTCGTGATCGGCACGATGAGAGATATAATGCGGGGGGAAAATGTAGTTTTCGGGCTGTATACCAATTCTGCAGTGATAAATGTTACGAACTAATTTTAGCTGTAGATTTTCCTTCCTTTTTCAAGAGATTCCCAGCCTAAGAATTCCTTCAGACTCGTCATGCTGAGTCGGCTGTTATAATTCCCGGGAACAGATCTAGCCGCTAAGTTTTGACCTCTTTCAAGTTTATTTCTATCAACAGCAGTTGATGGGTCCCAGACTGTACACGCGTGCTCGAGAACAGACCTGATATAACCCTGAACCAATCTTGACGAGACAAGCCGTAAGACCCCCTTTTGACAACGGTCCGAAGCATGAAAGATAATTATGGTGTTATTTTCCCAGGACCATTCCTCCTGCACTGCTCAAATTGTTAAAAAAAAATAATAATAATAAAAAAAATGCTGTGGGGCACATAACAATTCGGAGTTTATCGGACAAATCCGAATTGCCAAAAATTTTACCGGCGGGTGTTTTCCGGAGTTTTTCGGATTTATCCGAAAAAACTGAGCACTATTTATAGCGATGCAGCCGACTAAGACCAGAGCAGTTGATGCAAATGTGCGCAAGTGAGCTAGCGCCATGATTCCAACGCTCATTTTTTGTCAAGTCCCTTTGTATGCGTACCCCTGCCGCGATCAAACTGCTGACATATTAATGAAAGCTTGCACGTTCGAGGAACTTTGTATAATTTTCTAATGTGCATTTTCCCGCGGCACAGGTGTTATCAAAGGCGGTGAACGTCCTTACTTGATTACTTGAATCATGTGTAGACCCATCTCGACGCAGCAGTGAGCATGATCGGGTCGCACGTGGGGCAGGCCGCTCACGCAATAGTAACAGTCACCCAGGAGCTTGATCCGCAGGCAGTGATTTTCCTGAAACAGTTCAAACCACACCACAGACACCAGAGTGAATCAGAATTAATGCTGAGAACGTCTCGTTCGGAGTCAATGCTGGGTCACACCGCTCATACGTCATACAAAGACAGTCTGCAAATTTTGTTTTATTTGCGTAAAAATTCGGTGTTTATCGCGGACAATATGCTGTGGAATTTGAGAAGTAAAGAGTGCGCGTGCTGGAGCGGATGGGCACTCAAGATACGCAAGCGCACGCGCGCCCATTGCTTTAATTCTGTAGCCCTCAAGGAAGCTCTAAACTTTCTTCTTTCATGGAATTCATTAAACAACAAAATCAACAAAATCACGCACCTTCAACTTTGTGAATTGAAAGTGGCACACATGAGCCGATTCGTGGAAATAAATTAATTAATTCTGCTATGCCTGTTCAGCTTTCTTCGTGTGAAGACGTTGTGTGATGGCACCATTAAAACCGTCAACGTCGGCTCTGAAGATGTCTGACAGAGGAAGCTTCTAGAAAGGTTCCATTATACTGCATTTCATGAGTTGCGTGCAGCAGAGGCAAAAGCACGGGCGCGACCACGTGACTTTCAGACGTGCTTTCGTTTCGCTAGCACTTGCGAAATGAATGCAAATCTAGAGGCCATGCGCCCGTACCTATGCTTTGGCATTTGCTGCACACAACTCCTGAGATAGAATACATATTATGAAGGTTTGAATAAGAATGCCGCCATCGGCGAGCTATTAAAACAAATCGATTGAAATGATTACCGAAAACGAACCTTACTTCAGTGAATGGTTCAGTGACTCAGAGCGTCCTCGCAGACAAAGAGTTCCACAACATTCGTGCTAATGACAGTTTTTCTACGTTATTTTTCCGCATTTCGTAATTAACCTAGCACAATAGCGGCGAGACGAGAAACATTCGCTTGGCTGTTTTAACGTAAGCATTTCAAATATAAAAGCCATCGGGAATGTCTGGGAGGGCTGCGAAACATTTCCTCGGGCTGCCGTGAGCTCTCGAAACAAGGAATGATCTTGAGCCTGCATGCTGCGGATTTTCGTTCGACTAAGTTCGACGCTTTCGAACATTTAGCGCAACGTTCTAACAAACTTGGACCGGAGTACGACCACTATGCGCATGCGCTGAAATAGATGACGAGCTGGGGCCTTATGCTGCACGTCTTGGACTCCGACGGCGACTAGAGAGAAGGAAGTGACGTCAACAATGCAGCAAACGCAGATTGGATGTTGATTAGTGAGAGTCGCTGATGACAAATTTCCGCAGAAGAAACACCCAATCTGCGTTTTTTGCGTTGTTGACGCCACTTCCTTCTCCATAGTCGCCGTGGGAGTCCAAAACGTGCAACATAGGGCCCCTGACCCAACGCCTGGCGCAGGAAGGATGGAATATTTCTAGGCTATATGTTTTGTAGTAACAAGCTAACTAAATTATTATTGTTATTATTATTATTATTATTATTATTATTATTATTATTATTATTATTATTATGATTATTATTATTATTATCATTATTATTATTACATTTTTATCTGGTTTGTTATGTCACTGTGCCCCTGTTTACTATGTTAACAATGTAATGTACCTTGGTATCAAATTTGACAGTGATCTGTCATGCAATTCGCATCTAACAACTGTTTGAAAAAAAAAAAATCTCAGGCATGTGTTTCGTTTTTTGTATATTATAAGAGCATCCATTGTTGTAACGTGGGTAAAAAATGGTTATAAAGTGTCCTCAGATACGAAATCACAATCTTTGAAGGATGTTCGGAAATATGGAACAAGAATATCGATAATATTTTGCACGGAATGTTTAAGAGTATCGCATAGACGCCCAGACACACAAACAGATCAAGAAAAAAATTGCTGAACTGCTGAACCCATGCTTGCTGAAACTGTCTTCGTAGAATATTTTTGGAGTACCTGTTTCGAAATTCCCTCACTGCACCTCGGGCACTCAGATATGCGGCTCGTTTTGAAGTGCCGAGGGTGTCAACAAGGTATGGCAGACGACTGCGACGATTCTACGTGCCAGACATTTTCAATACTCTATCTGACAACATATTCGAGTTGGACTAAAGAAAAAAACAAACAAACGAAAACAAGCTTTTATATTTTTAGAATGATTCTAATTAAGACGCAACAATGACATTAATCTTTTACTAGCATGGACGCTTTGAAACGTACTATTGCATTTTTATCGTTTCCTTTTCTTTGTCACGTGTTTGATATCTTTTTATTACACAAACTTCTAGGTTTGTGTAACTGACACGTGTTTTGTTTGAATTATATTGTGTTAATTTTTAAGAGTTCGCTGGCGGCTGGGTTTAGTCATACACGCCAACTTAGGTTTGGGCTGAACCGATATAAAACATTAAACTCTGCAAAAAAAAAAAAAAAAACTTTTGTTGTTATTATTATTATTATTATTATTATTATTTGCATTTGCATTTTTGCACTTTTCTTGGGTGTTTCAAAAACTTTGGACTCAGTCGCATAAAGTTAGTTCTAGTAAACCAATCAGATTAAGTTTCATGGGTGTCTTTTAGTCCCTGCTTGAATATCTATCTGTCAAACCGAACGGACCTATAGTTTCAATGCCTGTACAACACAGTGCTAAAATATCTTTGAAATCTGGACTGCCTGACGGGTCTGTATACTCACCTCTTCTTTCTAATACATATAATAATGACCTTTATCAGGTAGTGAAATACTGTAAGATCTTGCAAACGCGGATGATACCGTTTTATTATCGATTCATTTACATTATGGTAAAAGCCGTAGAATTAATGCAATTTGATTCAATTAAGATCGTGGATTAATTTTATTTGTGTCAATCGTTTCACTGGTGTCAACAAAAAAAAAACACAACAAATGTGCTTTTGTAGTTTGCCAAAGAGACTACTTTTAAACAAACCGATACTTCTGCACGCTTCAAACTATGTGCTCCTTGTGAATGTGTGCATGCAGTAGACTACGTGAACACTACAAAATACTTGGATATTTGTTTTGACTTTGACTTATCGTGGAATTCGCATATTTACTGTACATTTGGAAGAAGTTGCGAGCTGCCATCCTGCGCCTTATACAATATACGAACCCCCGATGTTTAACAGAAGACATCTTGAGCACGCACTCATTTATAGTGTGCTTCGGTATGGAATAACCTTGTTCGGGCAGTATTGACATTACTGTAATAAAATTACAGTGATTAAATCACTTTTTGGAGTAATGCGTAATGTAATGAATTACTCCTCTAGGCTAGTAATTTAGTAACGTAATGAATTACTTTCAGTCAATAATCTCGAGAAATTTACTCATTACTTTTGAAATTACTTTTGTCCTAAATTAGAAAATTCGCTTGCAAGCTTTAACAAAGGAGAGAAAAATTATTTTGCATGATGAAACGTTGTGAAACCGCATCAGAGGAAATAATCGACGGCCACTTGAGCGCAAAGCCTTGTACGAAGAGTTGGACAGACGCACAAAGGAGGGCTGGAAATGCGAAGGAGAAACGCTTACGTGTAGACATCGCTGGAAGGCAACGGCTTACAAACTTTAGGCAAGACAGACTCACGGCGTCGCGTCATCACGACGATACTGTACTTCGTTCATTCCTAAATTAACAGTGCTGTGGGAGCTGCAAGCTAACCAGAACCAATCAAACACCTTCTTTTAATCACGTGTCCCGTCCCTTTCTCTGTGCGTGGGTATGAACGAGAGCGTGGTTATGTGGCGAACGATAGACGTGTGACTGCTCCGACACACACGTAGCTTCCACAGTTTATCCCTAAGCTGACAGTGCGTCAGCTTAGGGATGAACGGCTCATAGGCTACAAGGCGACGGGCACATCACCAGTGAGTTAGACATAATTTAAAACTTGAGAGGACAAGACAAACAGATCCCCAGCCTTGTACTTTCGCCAAGCAAGGTCAAATCGTAAGCTTCGACCATTGTGAACAACAAACGACCGGAATCAATAGTTGATTCCAAATGCCTCGTCAAAGCCCCAGAACGTTTCGCGCGTCCTCGAGCACAGCAGGTGCCGCTCGCGGTATGCCTCGCTGCCTTTCCTTGGTAAGTTTATTCGGGAATAAGTCTACAGGCAGATGTCGCCCCCCGTTTGTTAGGAAAGTACACAATTTAGGAAGCTCGCGCCATTCCTCAACTGGCGACGCTTCTGCTTAGCAATTATTTGGGCCCTTTGTGTGACAATGCGCAAAAACTTGGACTCTTCGGGTGTTTTGGAAAAATGCTCCTTGAAAGGAATGACCGAGAATACGTCAATTATACACGGCGATAACTCCTCTTGGAAATGCAGTTTAGGGTACAGGCACGCGTTCCCTCTCCCATTTTGAGCGCTGAATAAAGCTGTGCGCGGGCTCTCCTCCTCTCCACTAGATTGCCAAGAAAAGTTATCGCCGAGCATAGTGCTCTCGGGAGAATAGAATTAGATTGCGTCCGAGGCGGAAGGAAAACATTTCACGTAACGACTCCTTGTAATTACGAGCTGCCATTGCCCGACTTAACAAACTGACACGGACTGAAACTTCTAAATTAGGAAGACGGAAACATACCACCCTTTTAGTAAGAACCTTCACCGTTGAATGTAACAGCGAAACCGGTGAGTCGACTGTCTTTTTGAGTCACATCTAAAGAAGCTATTCATCTTGTTTAACACTTATATCGTGTGCACCAGCAAAACCACTGTTCAGTATGGTTCACATTGAGGCACATAAGGTTGTTGCAGTGTAAACCGGAAGATCTGAGTTTTGCTACATATAGACCAACTCAGATCAGGTGACATTACTGCGGTGGCGCTGCGGTCGGCACCGCGCATGCGCAGCGCCTCGCTTCTCCCGGATCTGGTTCCTGCACACGCGCTGTGGGGGAAAACGAGGGCTTGTTTTGTAAACACTGTGCTGATGTATACGGTAAATAAAATGAGCGAGAATTACTGCCTCAAGCTATTCAAAAGTAATGTCAAAGCAATTTCAAAATAATTTCATTACTTTTGGAAAGTAATTGTAATGTAATGAATGTCATTACCTTTAGTCTGCAGTAATTTGTAATGTAATTTAATTACATTTTTTTGCAGTTTTCAGAAAAGTAATTAGTAATGTAATTTAATTACTTTTTGAAAGTAATTTTGCCATATCTGGCTTCGGGCACACATACATATTAGAAGCCAAAGTGCATTTTCCCATGCGTGACATCTTGCGTAGCCTGGCATATGGTTCTAGTATTCAAGCATCCGATAATATGTTCGACGATCTCTCTTTACCATCCATTCGAGCCTTATTTGTGCATACTGTTGTACTCCGACATTAATGAATTAACACCTTCAGGGTTCTCAACGTGGTCTGTCGTGACCATCGGAAAATGAGACCACCTGCGGCGCCGCGCATCAACACAATTTTTGGGAAATGCTATCGAAGTTATTATGGTCCACACGGTACAGAAACAAAAATTAAATTACACGGAAACCTTCCCGAAATAGTTGAGATATGACTTCCGCAAATGACAATCGCACGTTCGTATTTGGAGCGCTAAAATCGGACAAGGGTACGATTTTAGCGTGCGCTTCGAAATGGGCCATCGAGGCGCGCGATGCGTCATGGGAACTCCGTCGCAATCCTGACGTCAGGCTCCTCAGCACAGTTAAAGGTTGGCGTGATTATGCGCGCCGCCACGCGGTGGCTTTTGCGTATTACAATGTCGGGTTTCGGAGTTGCGGAGGACTGCGCAGCTGCACGACGACCGTCGTGACGTATTCATTACGACGCTTGTAGTCCGCGGTGTGTTCGGCCATGATCTAAGAACTCGACAGGACGAGGATCTCGACTACCAAGCGGACTCGGAAGATGTCGGCAAGGACGAGTAGTCACCCTCGCACATGGCGACGGACATGCAATCCGGGCTATCGGTACGAACCCTATCGGTACGAACCATTCGACAGACCGACCGTCTGCCCGACAAAATCTGAAGGGGGTCGGGGTCGCCAAGAAATGCCTCGCATTAAATGATGATTGGCCTACCTGGAGGTGTGCGCTATTAGGTGTTTTATTAACAGCGCGCTCATTTATCAGTTTGCTTCGCTTTTCGTGGGGGTCGCTGAGCTCTTCTGCTTTCCTTTTCTTGGAAGAAAATAGTCGGCACAGCCCCTGGTAGCAACAGATTATTCATGGTACGAAGACCCAGCCTCCTGAGGACAGTCGGTCCCCTTTCATAGTCCTCATTGCGAAAATGGTCACTCTCTACAGGCGATCGATTTTCACCGGGGCCCGAAAAACGACGCGGACGGGCGAGGCGGATCCACACGCTTCGGAATTTCTCATCGTTCGGAAACCCGTGGGGCGGCGTCTCGCAGTTCAGCGCGCTGTTGCCGCAGCCCTCTGCCGCGCGATTTGCCGGCATCCTGCACGCAAACGTGATGAATAAACACGGAAACAACTCGGCGGTACCAAAACAATCGCGCGCCGTGTGAAGCAGCGCGATTGCGTCATTGCGTTCACGGCTAGGGTGTCTAAATGAGTACGATGTGCTGCCGAGGGTGGCGCCACTGCGGGAGGAGCAACACGTCGTGATCCCCCAGCAAAACTTTGGCCCCCCAATTAACAGACGTAACTGGGAAATAGTTGTATTTGTTTTAAAATTACTTTTCTCGCGTTTAAAAACAAAATGCAGGTGTTTCTCAGGAGCTGATGCGACGTGGTATATACCTAAGCAATAAAATGAGCCCTATAATTTCGTTTCTGTACCCCTTTAACAACCTCCCATCTGTGCTAGTGACACCACCTCTGGTAAAAAAAAATAAAAAATAACTGGAGATTATTTGATTGGCCATAGGACTATAACGCAAACCCTCGACTTTTTCTGATGGCTTTACATACCCGGTTCACAATTTTTCTTTAACGATATTTGCCTCCTTACGACTCTGCTTTTTTGGAGCTTCTTTGTTTTTTGTCTTTTTACAATGTGTGTGTGTTTTTTTTTTTGTAGAATTTCTGTTTGGATTAGTCTTTCAAGACTTCAAGACTTTAGAACTTCGACGGTCCCGAAATGAAACTTAGAGGAACTTTAAGCACCTGCAATATATTAGTATTTATTTATTTATTAATACATATTATTATCATTATTAAACATGTCTTTATTAAAAGAGTTCTCTCCAATCTCTCGTCAACTGATATCAAACTATATAAATACAAGTTTTTATACATGCTTTTCTATGGAGTAAATATTGCCAACGATTTTTTTAAAAAACTGAGAGCAATCTACGGCGTGAATTATTTTCCCAGACGTGTATGAGATTTCGCGTAAAAGTCGGGCAACACTGTTCAAGAAGTCGAACTTCTTCGATTTTGCCAAAAGTTCGAAGGCTCGTCAAAGCAGTCATTCCTCGAGATTCGACGTTGAATTTCAGGTTCGACAAAGTTGGCGACGTCCTCAGTCGATCCTGTCTAAAATAAGAGAAAATTATCCATTCCTTACATTGGCCAGTCGGTCGAAGCGGGCGAAGAGGTCGTTGAGAACCTTCACCAGCTCCTGCGCCGAGCAGCGAGACGCTAACGCCGTGAAACCCTGGATGTCTGCGAACAAGATGCTGGAAGGCGAAAGAACAAAACGTTGGAACCCAGTCCAGAGGTGTCCACAAAGACACACAGACACACACACAAAAAAAACGACCTTTAAGTATACTTTTTTTATTGCTTATGCTAGTAGAAAATCTATTACAAGCAACAGTAAAGGCCGGTTCTCACATGCAGCGAAGCGCTGATGTAGTGCTCCTCACGTGCCGTCAGCTACTTATCGTCTGCCATGAGCAACTGTTTTGATGGTGCGATACAAAGCTGGTGAAAGCTCCCGTCAGCACGCGCTTAGCGCGAGGTAAGCGCTATGCTGGTAGCGCTCCGCTGCATGTGTGAACAGGCCTTAAAGGGGTCATGAAACGATTTTCCTACTTCTTCCTCCTCAGCTTTAATCCTCAACTCAAATGCGAATTGTGAAATCACGTGGTCGTGACATCACTTCGGCACCGGTGCGATAACTCCTAGCTTCTACCGTGCTTTTTATGCACACCATAGGACCTGTCATTCCCCAGTGACGATAAATTCCGTCAGGGCACTCATTGGCCACGAACCCGACTCCGAATATTCGTCGACGGATTGATTGTTGACGAGCGCATACGTCCGAGCGAAGCAGTTCTCGTGTCCAATGCGTGAGCTGGGCTCTGCTGACGTCAGTTTGGCTCCGGTGACGCGCTTTTGGAACCGCGGATGTATCAGAGTAAAAAGGCGGAGAGCTTTCGAAGGCAAGAAGGTACAAAATAGGCCGCTATATTTTCAAATGTTCGTACCAAAAAGCTGGCTTTTGATTTTCTAGCCTCTTTCTTTTGGCCAACTAAACGATATGCGATTAGTAAAGTCCCAATTTAATATCATTCATCCCGACCCAGAATTCGTTTCATGGCCCCTTTAAGCAACCAAACTGTATATCTTATCGCCCCAGCCGCAATTGGTGTGTTTATTCTAATTTCTAGCGCGTTCATCCAAAGTTCATTTTCCCACTTTCATGATATAAGAGGCATATTTCAGAAAGTATGCTTAGAGTGGGATCCGAGTTTACCAATAGTTGCTGCGTTCGATTTACCTACATCTCCTGCGCCAGTGCTTACTGCCATGTTGGATTTACGAGTGCAGCCGATTTCAAAACACTTTTTGCACTTTTTGCACTTTTGCACTTTTTGGCGCCGATGCAGGCTGGCGCATGTATATCGAATGAGTATGTTACGGTACGCAGCAGAGTTCACCGTGCGTGCGCAGTACACAAATCAACAGAAACCAGATTTCTTAGTTCAGAGCTTCCTCCCCTCCCTCCTCCTCCTCCTCCTCCTCCATCCCTCCCTACCCCCCCCCCCCCCCCCCCCCGGACAGCGACGTACCCTTGACGGCATAGTGCTCCCCCTTTCCACTCTTTTTTCACCGCTTTCCTTTTCCTGTATATAAGCAAACTCTTGGTGACAATAAATGTTGTTGCCAGTTGGAATTTTGTGTTTGTCCGTCCCTTCTCGTTTTTATTTATTTATTTATTTACAGATACCACTGCCTTCTCAAGGAAGGCGTTGTAGGACGGGCTTCTAAACAATGACTGAAACGTACAATATGGAGCAAGGCCAGTTATTTATTTACAGATACTACTGCCTTCTCAAGGAAGGCGTTGTAGGACGGGCTTCAAAACAATGACTGGTTAGTTCCTCAAGTTTACACTTTCAAGTATATTGAAAGTAATAGTACTTTAGATATTGAAACTATGTTGTGGTATGCTCAACATGTTCAGTTTTGTTTTAGAGAAGTGCAAAGTTATAGGCTACTTTACCTATTTTGGCGAAAGACAAATCACGTGTAGGCTACTAGGCCACCGTGTTATGTGTCAGGCTAACAACCTTTCAGAGTTGTAGAAACAAAACAGGACCCCATGACCAACAAAGGGTATCATGGGTTTGAGATCATAGTTTTTTTTTTGTTTTTTTTACAACTCTCTTTGAAATGTTGTATGTTTACAACCGGCACATTAGTGTGTCACTGTTTTACTCGAACTGAGCTTTGTGTGAAGTTAAAATTACAACAAATAACTTTTGTTATCTGCTTTGCAATTTTACACAATATTTGAATGGGAACCATTTTTTAAAGGACATTTGAGGATGTTCATTGATTACTTAATTAAGTAGCTTATTAATTACTGCTTTTATTAACTTCAGCTCACATGCACGTTAAGAGAATTACACAAGGGGGGTCACTTATACAAAACACACGAACGAGTGCACTCGGGACAAATAAGCATATTGTTAAAAAAAATAATGAAAACGATTAATAATAACCGTATGCATTAGTTGAAAATTTGCTGGCTGTACAATGGTAACGACGGAGAATTAGAGGCTGTTCCCATAGTTGATGGGTTGTGAAAGGTATGTGATGTTCAGGTAAGACAGCCAGTAGAGCCAGAAATTAGATTGTGTACTGGTTCAAATCCAATAGTGCTGTAACCGTATCACTCGACCTCACCATCCTACTCACCACATTTGCATTCGAACAGATAGCCAGGAAACATGCCGCAGTTTTCGTGACGGTGCGCTACCCGGACATATCCACAGCCTTTTGCAACGTCACCTTGATACGCATCCCTCCCTCCATGTTACCTTGCAGTGGATCCCCGGACATCAAGGCGTAGAGGAACACAACAGAGCTCATGAGCTCACCCGCGTTACGAATTTTCCGGGTCCTCCGTGCGTCTGGCCGTCCGACTATGACCCCAAGGAACACCGAAAACTCTTGCACAAGAAGCGTACATCCCTCTTAAGAGAACTACGCGCTAACACCGCCACAATGCGGAGGGCAAGTTCGTCTGCTTCTTGCGCAGGGGGTAGCGGTGACGTCAGAACGCCGAGCCCTGATTGGCTGATCGCGACCCCCTATCTGAGCGTCGTCTGCTCCTTTGCAACGTCGTCTGCTCGCAACGTCGTCTGCGTCTGTCTTACCTTTCTTGCGACTTTCGGAAGTGCAGAGGGTAGTTCACGAAACGATCTTACGCCAAAAATGTACGTAAGACAAAACTTAAGAACAAATTCGTATTCACGAAACGAAATTTTCGTAAGTTTTGCGCAGGTTACGACGAAATCCTACGACAGCTCCGAAGCTGTCTTAGCACTTCTTACGATCAAATCAGCATGGCCGACAGCGCCGCGGTCGCGACGACCCACGGACGTTTATTTTTCTACGTGCGCCTCTCACGCGTCCCGACTTCAAGCAGCAAGAAAAAAGTAAAAAGTACTTGAAACCGACCACGACGAACAAGAACGCTGGATCCACAAATACCCGGGCAAAGCTTCGACGTCCACGATTCCACCGAACGCGACCAAGCGAGCCTTGCAGTTAGGCCTAGCAGGCACACCGCGACTCGGCGACCGTCTGCCCACGGCCGGCTGGCGTGCTGAATGGAATATGCCCGCGCGACCGTTGTGAACCCTTCCCGTATTATACTTTGATCGCTGACCTCAATTTTAGATTATGAGGTTAATTTCTTCCTCTTGTTACCTCCTTGTTTCCCGAGGCAACGGTGACTCTCGCCGGTGAAAAAGCGGTGAATCTCCGACAGACGCAGGAAAGGTAAAGCAGGCATCGCTTTGACTAGCACACGTAAAGCAGACGACGTTAACTGCGCCAACCCGCCGACGCCGTTAAAAAATGAGGGGCCTCGCCGCACAGGAAAGGAGGGAAAAAGTATTTGGGAGGGAACTTGCGGACACTAAACACGCTCACTCTCGGTGCTTAGCAAACAAGCCTCGGCGCCTCGGGACACCTCGCCAGTGAGTCCTTTGACTTCCCTCCTTGATGCGCGTCTGCTAGTTTGTAGACAAAAACAACGTACCACTCGAGTTATTTCGTCTACCCGCTCTGAAAGGCGAAGTCGAGCTCGCTCGTAAAGACCTGCACTTCCGAAAGTCGCAGGAAAGGTAAGACAGACGCAGACGTTGCGAGCAGACGACGTTGCAAAGGAGCAGACGACGCTATGATAGGGGGTCGCGATCAGCCAATCAGGGCTCGGCGTTCTGACGTCACCGCTACTTCCTTCCTCATGCGCAGAAGACGAAAATGAGCCCACTTGCGAGGCGTATTATCGCTCCCCCCCAATCCCTCTCGCGGGAGGACAGCGCCTCTCCGCAGACTTCAAACCAATTCGATCGTGACTCCCCTTTTTCGCCATTATATCCAGGGCCTTGCCGGACGCCCGAAATGCCCCAACTGCGGCGAATACCCCTCTCTAGAACACTGCCTGTGGCAATGCTCCTACATTCAACCTACCCTCCTATCCTTTCTTTCCTCCCTATCCCAGTCTCCAACCTCACTCATGGACGGACTGGCTTAGTCCACCAACCGATGCCCATATTCTCCTGCCGGCGCTCATTCAGCACGTGAAAAACGTGTTGGGTGAGGACTGGTAGGTGACTAAATACAACTGAGCGCCGGACCTTGGCGTATAAATAAAGAAAGTTTTTTCTCTCTCTGTCTCTAACACTAGAAAGAGAACTACCCATATCCTGATTCCCTTCTGCATCTGGAAAGGCTAAAAATGACTCAAAACCAGTCTCATACACATTGCTCCAAAAAATAATCGATTACAATTACAATTACTCTGGGTTAAAACGTATTCAGTTAGATTACTTGATTACTTAACAAGAAAGCTAAGTGACCGTTGCTTGAGGAACCTTACCTTTCCGATTACCTCAGATTTTTAAAATGACATACATTTTTTTGCAGGTTTGAAAACAGTAACTAACAATAATAACCATGGAAAAGGGGAACGCCGAGGGACAAAGGACAAACACAAATATTAATAATAATATGAATCATGATTTTATATTCATTTTTTATTAAAATAATAATAGGCCACCAAAAAAATTAAAAAAAAAGAGTCGCGATAGACGGCGTGACGAGCTCCCAATCCAGGGGGCTTTCTGCGGCAATTGCAGTGAGAAAAAAAAATGTTAGTTTTACAGCGAGCACATCCAACCCAGATCACGTTGTTAATTCTCAGCCGAATGTAAATACATCAGGTCTACATTTACATAAATAAATACAAATGCACGCAACAGGACGAGGAACTTCTACATTACCGACTTAAACAAGAGCGTACAGTTACAACATGCAAATATATACGGAACCAAATATCAGTAAAATATACGTGAAAGCTATACCTGATTTCACGTAATGTATTGAAACTCGATTTATCTTTATCAATGTTGTGGTGAATTAATAAATTGAGAAGTCTCTGGATGCGGTAAGCTAACATTTCTTTCCCGACATTCACTTGACACGTTGGTACTTGCCAGTAAGCAGAGTTACGAGTTTGATATGTCAAAAAAAATTGTTGTCGTAAATTTGACACTACTGAGGAGGAGGTGTTATGCTGCAGTTCTTTTTTAAGCATTGTGGATAATCTAAAGTTATATAAATTTTTAACATTACGTATATTATAAACTTTGAATAAGTCTTCTGTATGCGAAAGATAGGGTGCCTTTGCAATTGTTCTTAGCATTATTTTTTTTTAATTAGATGCGCTTTCTCCAAGTTTGTTAATGTAGTTGTACACCAGACTAAGGAACAGTAATTTAAATAAGAATGAAACCGATTTATATAATAAGAGTTTAATCGACGTTGGAAGTATATATCCGTGCCGGCATACCAGCCTTATATAGCTCTTTATTTAAGCATGCAATATGATGGTCCCAACTCATATGATGAAAAAAAAAAAAAAAAAAAAAAAACACTACACCAAGTGTTTTAAAATTGTCTACTAATTGGATGTCGACTGAGTTTACGGTAATCCCGCGTATTGATGGCAGCGATTTATGCTAAGTCAGAAATATTAGAGCTTTAGTCTTGCGAGTATTTATTTTTAAAGCGGTCCTCTCGGTCCACGAGAATATTTTATCTAACACTATATTAAGCTTTGACACGAGCTTTTCCGCGTTATCACCAGCGTAAAGAAGCGTTGTATCACTGCATACATTCGAAACGTATTAGATTGGTCAATATTTACTATATAATTTAGATAGACGTTAAAACCAGGACCAGGCGGATTTGTTTAGTCGCGTACCAGTCACTTAGCCGTGTTTGTAGATTTGTGTTTGTCCATTGTCCCCTTTGTCTGGGTATTTTATCGTTATTCTTGTCCAGCTCGCTGTACATTTACATTAATTGCATTAACGTCAGTTCGTAATGTCCATGATTGGATTAGAATCAAAGAACCATAAACTATTTCTCCTCTTAATCCACCAGTTTTGGTAAACACACTCCTGGCGGAGACTGCGTTCGAGGATCCCTTCGTAGAAAACTTGCACAAACAAAGAGGGCAGTCAGAAAGGGGAGGAACAAATAGTAAAAGTTACAAGTGATTTTAGTACTTCCAAAAGTAGTCGGATTACTCTTGCGATTACTTCCCAATACATAAAATCAAATTTTCACAAAATCATTCCAGCAATTAATCGATTAAAAGTAATTTGATTACCTCTAATGGGTACCCTGAAAGTCTGCTCAGAGCTATTCAATTTGAGCTACTATTTACACGAGCCAACCATAAATACAACTGATAATGCAACCGAAATTGCAAAGGCAAAGAAATTTTCAGTTGGGATATGATAAAAAAAAAAATTCGGCAGAGACACTTAAGACTGCTTTCGTGTAGGAATGCGAGAGCATTCTTACACGCAGTGCATTCCTACAAGCAGCGCGCCACGTCTTCCTTTCGCACACGGCGTTGCGGCGGTGACGTCACGCTCCCCCACTGCGCATGCGCGGCGAACCCTGCCGGCTTCACGACGGCTTCCGTGACGAAGCATTGCGTTGCTGCGCTTTTTCTTTGTGTTTTATTTCTGAGGCGCGTCCGCTTTGACCTTGAGCGCTCCCGCCGTTTTCCGTGACGAGGCATCGAGGCATCTGCGTTGTTGTGCTTTTCTTCGTGTTTGACTGGGAATGGAAATTTAGGTGCCATTTTTCTGCAGACGGTTACAGACAATGCCGGCTTCGCTCCATGGGACCCATTTAATGCTTTCGCATTAAAAAGCGGTCTTTAGGTCAAGATGACAATTAATGGGGCGGAAAAGACAGAAGAAACTGGTCCGCGAAGCTACAGAAGGTGAAGGGGTTGGTTGACTCGACCGGTTCACCGAGTGTTTATTTCTCGTGAAAACTTGTTTTCAGTAAGACACACTCAGAGCAGTAGCGTAGCCAGGACGTTTTTTCGTGGGGGGGGGGGGGGGGGGGGGGTAGCTGGCTGGAATGTGTATGACTTGAGGTGCGGAGGAGGTCGGCTGAAACTCTATAAGCTTCCTTCTGCCCCTTCCTTCCATACCCTTCCCCAGCTCCCTTTTCTCCTTCTTTCCCTG